AGAAAAGGGCTTGTAAAGCAACTTTGCGTTATGAAAATTTAGTTGTCGAACACGTATTCTGCTATTTTGATTATTCCAAAAGCAGTTTTGCACGTGATCTTCCGAGTTCTTATTTGACGAGATCTTCAATAGTTTTTTTTTCTCGAACATCAGCGCGTTCAAGCGCAGTCCATATGGATACAGCGTAAACAAGAACGACCCGTGCATATGAGGTTGACATTATTTTACCATATATTTTGAATTAGACTTCGTTTTATTGAGGTGCATATATCGATATGGCCTGAGGTCCTCGAACTAGTTACACATGCTAAAATCGGACCATTTCCTACACATTGGGGCCGCCTCAGTGGTCTACCAGACAGAGCATCAGCCCAGGGACGGACAGGCGAGTGGCTCAATCCCCTGCCGCGTTATGCAAAATACGTAAAAATATGACGCTTGTTGTTACCCTGCCTGGCTCTCGGCATCAAGAGGATAACACAAGAACTCGACGGCTATGCTGTGCCTGTGCAAGGTACGTATGTGAAAGTATTGGGAAAGCAGGTTAACAATGTTTGTGATAACTGTTTCATGTAGCTTACGTCAGATTATCCTCATAGTTTGCTGATTGGCCTCAAAGTAACATGACCTATGTGACAACTGTAGTTTGGTATGATCTTAAAGACGTAAAATACCATTGCACATCACCTAACTGTTTAATATTTAAATATATGCTTGAGAATGCTGACTGACAAAATACATGTATATCCACAAGAAAAATAATCACAAGGGATGACATCAACTGTCCAATAGATAACGTTTCCTTTGTGTCAAGCAATATTACAGCAGCTCCAGCCTTTAAACAAGTTTTATGGAAGATATTTTGAGGCCCTTTTATATACTTACGATAATCAGTGCACAATTGGAAAGTAAATGAAAAATATTCTGAAAAATATGTTTATACTTAATCAACTACCTGCATAAAAGAAATTGTGAAATATATTTCGTTTGAAGGTATTGGGAAAGCTGGTTAACAATGTTTGTGATAACTGTTTCATTAACTTACGTCAGATTATCCTCATAGTTTGTTGATTGGCCTCAAAGTAACCGGACGTATGGTAACACCAGCGACCAGGATGTAAACATCGTCATTGATGTAACAGGTGCGTCACTTGAATCACAGCATACGGTCTCTACTGAACTGCGGTAAGTAAGAAATATATGGCGAAGATCAAAACAAACAAAGTATAAATTGAATTTTAGCAGTTGTAGATCAGACCACATTGTTTATTCACGTTGATGTCGAACTTGTCTATTTATGTAATATATCAAGCATGTAATAGCCAGTACATGGATGATAACAAGCGTTTTGTAGCCCACACTAATGATTGAATGAGCATTTGCTATTCAATTAACATTTCCAGCATCCTCCAGCATGTATGTATGTATGTATGTATGTATGTATGTATGTATGCGTGCGTGCGTGCGTGCGTGCGTGCGTGTGTGTGTGTGTATGTATGTATGTATGTATGTATGTATGTATGTATGTGTCTGCGTGTATGTATGTGTCTGTATGTGTATGTGTGTCTGTGTATGTATGTATGTATGTATGTATGTATGTATGTATGTATATATGTATGTATGTAGGTATGTGTGTATGTATGAATGTATGTATGTATGTATGTATGTATGTATGTATGTATGTATGTATGTATGTATGTATGTGTCTGTGGGTATGTATGTGTCTGTGTGTATGTTTGTGTATGCGTGTCTGTGTATGTAGGTTTGTATGTATGTATATATGTATATATGTATGTATGTATGTATGTATGTATGTATGCATGTATGTATACATGTATGTGTGTGTATGCATTTATGTGTGTGTGTGTCTGTGTGTTTGTATGTCTGTCTGTCTGTATGTCTGTCTGTATGTATGCATGTATGTGTATGTGTTTATGTGTGTCTGTATGTTTGTATGTATGTCTGCATGTATGTATGTATGCATGTGTCTGTGTGTATGTATGTATGTATGTTTGTATGTATGTATGTGTGTGTGTCTGCATGCATGTATGTGTCTGTGTGTATGTATGTGTCTGTGTGTCTGTATGTATGTATGCATGTGTGTATGTGTATGTGTTTATGTTTGTATGTATGTATGTATGTATGTATGTATTTTATCGCACGTACCAAGCCAAATGTTTTCGGTGGGAAAAAGCGGGAAATTTGTCAATTTTGTGTAAAAAACGTGCACTTTACAAAAACGATGTAAGGTGCCGTAGCACGTAATACACGTGCAGGTCTACTGTATATAACTGCTGATCCGACACCAAAGGAACACAGCACCAAAACAAAATTGCACCTTTAATTGAGATAGAGCGGGGGGACCCTTTACAGGGAGCGATGCACGCCGCCATTGCCAGAACGTTTCGATGCGCCCGTATAACCGTTACCAGGGTGATGCAACGGCAACGTCGAAGAAGCCGAAGACCACGGGTTGCCACGCCCATTCAAGATCGCTACGTCCGGACAATTCACATCAGTCGACAACCAGTGTACAGGCAATTACGAGCCCTACCGAGGAGTGTTGTTGACACCTGAACATCTCCTCGACAGGAGACTTCGACGTTGCCAGCTTCGGGACTCAGCACGTGTCCTTCCGATGAGAGCAGATCTGTCTCTTCAGAAACGATGGTCGGCAAAAAATCTGTGAACGTTTATCGCCAAATTGCATTCATCAAGTCCGGGCATTTGGAGGTGGAGGCGTAATGGTCTGGGATGAGTCTGCGGTAACTTGATGGTTATTCACGGTAGCATGAATGCGCAACAATATATATCGAGATAAAGTTTTGCGACTGGTTGTGGAGCCATTCATCCGGCAACTGCACCATGGAATCATTTTCCAGCACAACACTCCGACGCCGCATACGGCATTGTTGACCCAGAACCTCCCCAACAACGCGAACATTCAGGTTTTACCATGGCCGCCATGCCGGACATGAATCCCATTGAACATGTGTGGACCATCTCGATCGCCGGATCAGAAGTCGCCCAGTGGCTCCATTGGAACAATGACTCCTTGACGAATGGCAACTCATTCCCCCCAATGTCATCCGACGATTGACGTCATCGGCCCGTCAACGTGTTCTAGCGTGCATTAATGCTCAAGCTGGACAAACCCGATTTTAACGTGACATTATGATGAGTATTCTTACATTTTACACACTTGCCTCGTCATGTGTTAGGACTGGTACACCCCTTGTTGACCCCACGCGTATTTATGGGCCTGTCCGTCTGCATGTCAAAGTTTAATTGAAATATTGTTTTGTAAACATGATGTTAAATGATTGTACTTAGGAAATATACCAATATGAGTATGATAGATGATTTTATTTTTCTTCCAAAAACTTTCAAACACTTGGCATCGTTTCTTGTAATCATATTTTTCCTGCAAATAAAATTGTGTTTCATATGGTTTCGATAAGAGACACAAGAACGTCATTCTGTGATAACTGGGTAAATGGTTTGCTGTCGATAGATCTATAGAAAAGTATATAAAACACGCATTTTACAACTTAACTTTGTTGACGGATTCTCGTTGGATGCGCACAGTCGTATGCATGCGTTCATTGTGTTTTCATAAAAGAATCAAAATGTGACTTGAAAGGATAGTTATTTGATGACGAACACAAAGGGAGACAAAAATTGGATTTGATCAATCACAATAACAGTCCCTCACCTATGGGGATTCCGGGTGAGAATATGGTTCCCCAGCGACCAATGATAGCGTAGGAAACAACAAAATGGATCGGTAGACTTGGTAGATGCATGTCACCATATCCCTTTTGCGTGGAACGATGTGCATCATTTCAATAACTGGATTGTCTGGTGCAGAGTCGATTATTTTTTGTTTTTTGTTTGTTGTTTAACCCCGCACTCAGCAATATCCCAGTTCTATGACGCCGGTCTGTAAAAAAACCTATCTGGACCAGACAATCCAGTGAAAGACATCATGAGCATCAATCCATCCAATTGGGTTACGATGACATTCACGAACCAAGTCAGCGAGCCTGACCACCCGATCCCGTTAGTCGCCTCTTACAACAAGCATAGTCGCCTTTGACGGCAAGCATTGGTTGCCTCGGATCTACTTTTATTACAGGCCAAGGCAGAGTTAAACAACAAACAAACTAATTTTGGGGACTGTTACAATGCAACCATTTCAGCACGTTTATTTTATATTTCATTTATCTAAAATACCTGCTTTAATATGTTTTGATATGTTTTCAAAGTGCACCGAAACTCGAATGCTTTTGTTTACACAGACATCAAACATTTGACGTATCCCTATGAATCAAAAGCCCCATAAGGCAATACTCTATATATCCTGTTGTATCTATAAATATCATTTAACACTAAGTCTTCCTTGCGACACCAAATCTCACGTGTGTTCATGAACGTGGGTCAATGACCTTGTCTCCGCAACAGAACAAATAGCCACTTGGCCTTCTGTCACGTGATTACCATTAATCGTACCATTTCGACCTATCTACTATCAACATGGCTGTTATCGTCTAAACTTCATCCCGAATATTTGCCTTAAGCCGTCCCATTGAACTACCATCCGAGGGCGAAATTTAGGCTCTTGGACAAGGCAAAGAATCGGTCGTTATCATGAAAATGTTGACAAATGAAAAAAATGTATCAGTGTTCCCGTCCACAAAACACGCGCGAAAATACATCCGTACTAAAGTCAGCACTTATATAGTGGATAGTGCCCTGGCACCAACGGATTAAGATGCCCGTGAAGATCCGGGGTAGAACAGGTCTCCAGCAACCTATGCTTCACGTAAGGGGCGACTGAAGGGATCTAGTGGTCAGGCTCACTGACTTGGTTGATGCATGTCATCGTGTCCCAACTGCGTGGATCGATGCTCATGATGTCAATCACTGGATTGTCTGGTCTAAACTCGATCTTTTTCAGACCGCTCTCATATAGCTGGAATATGACGTTATATTTCAAGGTTTCCATGATGACAAACATGACCCAATACGGAGTTCATATTCTGATTCTTCTGGTCGAATCACTCTTATTAGGTAAGTCTTTTGGTATTTGTTTGTACTTTGCCTAAGCCTTGCTTCTGAATATGTATTGCGAAGAGTATAAAACCAGTATGTTGACATCATCAGTCGTGTGAGTAAAATTTATACCTGGGAAAAAGGTAAAAATACGTATCACTCGAGCAAAATGTGGATTACGATTTGCCAAAAATTGCTGGATGCAGAAAAATCCTGTTTCAAAAGCAGAGATCAAATTTGCTATGAAGGCGGATGTATGGCCTGATTGTTAAAGCTATCGCTCATCAAGACGATAGTGAGATTAAGAATGAAACCCAATTCTGTGTCCTTCCCCTTCTGTGATATGTGTCGTAGTCACGTATGTTCTCTCTGCAACCAAATGATCTAGCAGATCTAGTTCTTTCATTATGATTATTTCCTCTGATGATCATAAAATTATCATACCTAAATTTCCAGTTTCCCCCGGTCTCATCTGTCCAGAAATCAGTTACCTTGGCGGTCCTGTCCAGCTGTTCTGCACTGGCGGGACACTTGCACACACATATTACAACACGGGTGGTAAGGTGGCTACGTGTGGATTAACGGCTAAGTCATCGTGTACATCCTCTAAAATGTCGGCGTATAGACTCAGCTCAAATCAGACGGGACTAAACATAACAAGAGCACAGAAGTCCGATGCTGGAAAATGGACCTGCAGCTCTGAACGTAATTCCAACACGTCATGTAATCTGACCATAGCAAGTAAGTATTATTATCACAGTCAATATAACTAATAGGAAAAAGGATTTCACAACATACCCACCACATCTAAGTACCAGGGATATAAACGGGGATATTTTACTTAGCCTAGCATACATAGAACTGAAATGTTACTGTGAGGTTCAATCTTTTTTCCTATGAATTTCTTTTACCTAGATCAGAAATTATCTATTTTGTAGAAGGTCAAATCCTGATCTGTCAACCAGCCCTCAACATCAGCAAGTTAATTTTAGTCATCATTACATATCTGACCATTCAAGTGGTATTTTCAAATGTAGAGATAGGTAGTAGTCAGTTGGCGTTAGATTCGGAGGATGGGGCACCAGCTCGTAACCACATTCGGTAGATGTGAATTAGAGCATTACACTAATGGAGGAGAACAGCGCGTCTCTTTTGGATCGCGCAATATCTGAATAAGTTTGCAAAATATTCACCACACCTAATAGCAAATATTTTCAGTGTAAGTATAAATAATCAATGTATGTTATATTTTTGTTGTCAAAAACAGGAGACGGTCAAAACTTACATTGTGGATCTGGTTGCTTTTAACTTCTTGGTTTGAACCGAATTGTTTCCACTCCATGGTTTATTGTTTGCTCGTGTCATGAATCCAGCCATCGTTTGCGATTATATCTGGCTAACAGGGCACAGGTGTTGACACGTGTAGTATTCTGGGAATCCATGGGTTTAAACCGTTGACACATGTAAATGTTCATGTAGGATGTTTGTCTATTTCAGAATACAAAAAGCCTAAGGTCATACAGTGTAAAGTGCATATTGTTCAGTTCCAGGTTTTCGATGTATTCGTTTGTGGTGCTAGAGATCGACCAGAGCGGGTGTCATGTTCGAAAATCTCTCTCCCACATGCTGTAATACATTAAGCCAACATGGGCAGGCTCAACATGTTCTGATATCCCATCATTTGCATCTACTATCCGAAACATTTTATATCCTAGACATGTTTCCAAATGTGCGTTATTTATGTGTTCAGACATTATACATGTTCACAAAATATAGGAACATAATAGTGCCTTCCGTAAGTTACCTCCCTGTCGCAAGTCAACAGGGTGCATGTAACAATGATTCATAAGCAGATACTGCGATATAGTCGGAATCGTACAATTGACTCTGCTTTTAGCATACATATCTTATGATCATGGAAAGGTTTTTGTCGCTTTTACTTCCGCAGTGTTCAAGTCTTAGATTTTGTTTTGTCAGCATCACATCCGTGCACCAAGGTTGCACTAACGTGGAAAACATCAAAATGAACTCAGACAGGGGCAGAAAGTTATTTTAGTCATGTGCTTATATATTGGTAATACGTCATGCCTACACTCTGTGTTACAGATATCCCCACCTACAAAATCACCAGTGACAGGGCTACAGGCGCCGTGGATGTTTATGATGGAATATCCCTCACAGTGGACATCCGGGGCTTCTACTGTTCTGCAGCTCACAACTTGACTCTGCAGGTCGGGAGTGCCACACTGCCACTGAACATGTACTTAACCGAGGCTGTGACCGAACCAACAAACAGAACCTTCACCATCTCCATTAACGTCACGGAGTCACACTTTGGGGATGTAGAACTGATATTTCTCTGCAACGACCATCAGTTAAATGTTAGTCATCGAAGTGTTACACAACTACAACATAATACCAAGGATTCAGGTAGGTTAATGTCATTGTTTGGCTTCTGTCCACCCGCCCATACAGTCTATCATAAATTAGAAATTATTCAGCATGTTCGGCGGACAATAATCAATATGAATATATATGAAAATATTTATGAAACATTTTGCCATTGAAACTCGAAAAGAATTTTAGTTTAACAAGTCCTAAACTTTCAAATGGAACAAGGTTACCACAAGACTTATCTTTGGGCCAAGTTTGGTGAAGAAATAATGATGTGTGACTGGTATTGATTGCGTGTTTACATGCTTATAACATCCTGGTTGATATACACACTGACTTGATATAGCTGGAATATTATATAACAATAATAAATATAAGCATGTATATTTATGACTATGTTTGCTCCATGTGATATGATTTCGTTAATTAACATGACATTGTTTTTACTTGATTATCCGGGGACCTGTGAATATCCGGGGTATAATAGGTCTTTACCAAACCATTCTTTATTCAAACCAAAGGCGATTATGCCTGTCGTAAGAGGCGACTGGTCTAGGTAGCTGACGTGGTTGATGCATGTCATCGTATCGCAAAAGCGTGGATCGATGCGCATGATGTCAATCAGTAGAGTGTCTGGTCCAGACTCGATTATTTACAGACCGCCGTCTTATAGCTGGAATATCGCTGAGTGCTGCATTAAATAACAAATAAGCGAATATAATTAAAGGAATGATTGAAATGAACGTGTCAAAGTAAAACATCCCCTGATTTCTTAATAAAAGGCACAACGTTATGTTTCAGATACCAGTACCACTTCCAACACCGGCGTAAGACAACCAACTATTAATACCACTGACACTCATGAAGAATTGATTCACGTACTAATTGCACTAGGTGTCTGCGATATTATGATCATCGCCTTCGTTGTCTTGCGTTGCTGGCGCAACAGACATAACTTAAGTACAGTTAATTCAATAAACCAGGTTGATGACTCTCTTCACATACAAAGTTCATCTTCCACCGACATGAACATGAATGAACCGGGTACAGTGACAAGAGGAGCGACCCGTGAAGAATAGGTCTTCAGCAACCCATGCTTGCCGTAAAAGGCGACTAATGGGATCAGGTGGTCAGGCTCGCTGACTTCGTTGATGCATGTCATGGTATCCCAATTTCATGGATCGATGCTCATGATGTCAATCACTGGATTGTTTGGTCCAGATTCGACGATTATTTACAGACCGCCGTCATATAGATCGAATAATGCTGAGTGCGGCGTTAAACAACAACATTCAAACAAATCAAAGAGCACATATAACGGCGTTATTTTGTTTTCTGTATGCGTCTTAATACATTTTATACTATTTAAGTCGCTGCGGGTATTTATTGCACTTTTGTAATCGTTTCATGAGGACTTGTGTTGAATGGAAATGTAGTGAAACATGCGAACATGTACATTGTTTTCATGTTTCATAGTTTTCAAAGTTAATTTCATCTGTTGTTTAAGGTTTTTAGTTTCTTATTTTTGTAGACGCATGTACATGTTATTCATCTTGTTACACGTGTAAGTGGGGTATGGTTTATATGTTCCATGAGAACATATAAAGAAATGATTGTTTTGATCGTTCTTTTGAATTGCTTTCATCTTTTGCTTTTTTTCTTATATTCATTTTGTTGTTTGAATGTTCGAGGATCCTGCACATTATTTGTAAATTACGTCGCCCCTGTAAACAAATGTATGTTTATTGTTCAGATTGTTTGTGTCTTTTTGTGTGTTTTATAAATTTGGTACAGGGGACACACGATCTCTTGACGCTTTGTATTTGCCATTCTGTATGAAGATGTTACAGCTTAGACATAACATGGGGGAAAAGTGTGTGTAAACTTGCTTGCGGCTTTCCTCTCCTCCTGTTAAGATTTACCTATGTTGAGAATGGGCATCAAGCCATCTATTTCCCGTCTTTTGCGGTACCTGTTCATGAATTTTAAATCAAAATCAAGAAAGTATGACACATTCGGAAATAAGAAACAATATAAATGTGTTATATGTTGGCCATATTTTTGCTATTTGTACTTATATACGGTTGCAATAAAACTTCTTTGCTTTGATGTTGTTGAATCATTCATGACAAATCAATTTCAGAAGGTCTTGTAGTTCATGTGAAAAGACGGTGTCTGTGAAAAAGCATATATTATAACATGCATTTAACAGTATCCGGTATACTACACAGGAAGATGGAAAGGAGTGATTGTTTGTTTGTTTGACTGTTGTTTAACGCCGCATTCAGCAATGCTCCAGCTATATGACGGTGGTCTCTAAATAGTCGAGTCTGGGGCAGACAATCCAGTGATTATCATCATGAACATCGATCCACGCATTCGGGATACGATGACAGGCATCAAACCAAGTCAGCGAGCCTGACCACCCGATCCCGTTAGTCGCCTCTTACGACAAGCATAGCCGCCTTTGACGGCAAGCATTGGTTGCTGAATACCTATTCTACTCCGGATCTTCACGGGTCGAAACAGAACCGTCAAAATAAAGTTTGAAAGCACTATGTTTTTCCATCACCCGGGACTGCATACTGTTGCCTGCATAGTATTATATGTAACGAGCCCTTCTCCGTGCATGGACTTTATGCGAACCCTACCGTTTACTGATGTTGAAGCAATGTGCGGAGGAGATGACAGATTTGAAGTACTGACGATGCTTATAACACCACGTTCCATATAACTGCGTGTTGTTTGTTTGTTTGTTTGTTCTTTAAAGCCACACTCACCCATATAAAGGCTATATGACGGCGTTCTGTAAATAATCGATTCTGGACCAGACAATCCAGTGATTGACATCATGGGCATCGATCCACGCAGTTGGTCCGACTTGCGTGTTCACACGATGCAATTGGTTGCATACAACAAATTATATACAACTAGTTGTACCGTGTAGGCCTCATTTTAAAAAAAAAACCGTTGAGTAAGAGGCACCAACATTTGAATGCAGTATTCACTCAGGAATGTTAATCCGACCGTGCACATTAGAATGGCAATACAAATGGCCATATAGACGTTTGCTGTCGTTTTATGATTAGTCCGCGACCTGTTGTTGAATAGGAGGACATGCATACGTTGTACAAGCACATTACATGTTCAAGCTGTGGAGCAAGTGGAACAGCGAGAGAGACATAGTTTGATTTATGGACAGTGGTAAGATTCTACAGTGATAGATGCGAATTCACTGAATTAGTTTAGATAAGTGTCGATGGTCAAATTTTATCCGAAGTTGTAAGCTGTGTAGGGAGGGTTGGGTGTGAAACCTTGGACAGCAGTAACGAATGAATCTTACATTACATATTGCTGTTTAGATACACTTTTCGGATTACAACCGTCTCTGAGGACCAATTGGAATATAAATTATTTGGAATGGGTTTGTTGTGCATGTTGGTTTGAATGTGCACTGGTTCAGTCTTTCTTCATTTTATTTTGTCATAAAATTCATGTATTTTTATTTATGTGATCATATAACAAAATAATGTGTATAGTAAAAGTTTTTACCACCTGAGCCAGTTAAGTGGAATCCCGATGACCATACACCTGTGGGGCAGTTTCATGTTTTGTAATTTTCTCCGAGTATTCATAAAATTGTAACGTTATAACAACATCCTAGCCATGGTAGTTTATATATGCATTTCGATTGTGTAATATCCTTTGCAACATTTTAACAGTTCCTTGATTCTAATAAAGTCATGAACGTTTGTTTTCAGTTGATGATTTCGATGATGACAAATGAAAGCAGTGGACAGATTTTGCTTCTGTTAACATGTCTCCTATCTGGTAAGTTGTATTGTTGACAAAATGACAAACATTCACCAATTGCATGATTTTCAGACTTTTATAATAATTTGATTTGCATTTTTTCAGTGTAGTTTAGGCGAATGTACGTGCACGTGTAAGACCCATTCTAGTGAACAAAACGAAGACATACACACCCAAACTATATCGACTATATATCCGGACCTAGACTGACAGTAACAGTCTATAGCAATCTTTGAATTTACCTTTCTGGTCCAGTCTCGATTATTGACAGATCGCCGTCATATAGCTGCACATTGCTTAGTGCGCCGTTAAACAACACACAAACAAACAAAACAAACACTTGTTTTAAGGGATCCTTTACACTGTATTTTACGGCCTATTGGTCGGACTGTGGTTCAACAGATGTTCCAGACTGATTTTTCCACAACGTTGAAGCTTCGAAAGTATAGTCACAAACGCCTTGTTAAATGAATTAAAATGATATTAAAATAACAACTTTCATTTACACACATGTATTTCTTCACAGTTTCCACTGAACTCATCTGCCCTGACGCCGGTTTCATTGGCTCTTCAGCAGAGATGTCCTGCTCCGGGGGAACTATATCACACGACTACATCAACCCAAGCGGTCGTAATGTTGCCCAATGCCTACTGACTGGTGAACGGTGTGACGTAGATCCGTCCATGTTTACGTCTGTCCTTAACGCCACTCACACTACACTCACCATAGGACGTGTACAGTTATCCGATGCGGGGACATGGAAATGCGTTACTGGATCCGGAGAGGCGACTTGCCACCTGTCAGTTGCAAGTAGGTATTTATTTCTTTAGGTGATGCTTTCGTACAACCACCAACACTATATTGTGTTCTTTTCGAGAGGTTCCATTGGTATATTTCGCAAGTGTTATAATAGTGCTATAATAAAGTATACATGTTCACAAAAAAAAATTGTGCAAAACCTTTATGTATGTTAACCTTTACACCAAAACACATCCTATAGTTGCACGTGCCTCAAACGCAGTAGCGCTACACACGTGCGTAGGTTGTCATTCCTGATTTAGACACATTCAAGAATGATCGATTTATGACTGTAGAGCAATATTTCTGTCAATCAGTCAATTGTTTCTGCTCATCATACAGCTGTGATTTACATGAGTTCATTTATTGTTTGTGGATTACCTATTGCTGTGGCTTCTGCAACGCACGGAGCATCTACGGACTATAGGCATGCTGGGAACATGGCCAATGTGTTTAATGCTTCACGGTAAAAGATTATCCGTCTCTGGGGCAGGTACTAACAAATAATGACGATCAAAAAGGAATTGCTGCAAACTTCCATCAGGCTACTCGAGTAGTACGATAAATCGTCTACATTCAGGCAAACTAACATAGCGATATTTCGGATGAATGAATTAAAAACGTGATGGTACAGCTAAAAAATTTCAGCAAACTCAGAATCATTGATAGCTTTACGAACCACATTTCTCTTTTTCTGTTTCTGTTTTGACCACCATTACTGAATGTAATGTGTATGTAATAGATCTGTTTATCGTCGTCTAAGTCACAGCAATTTGCTGTGCAGGTTGGGAGCATTAGGTGTGCCAGGAACCTATGATCGTTGCTTTGAATCCTTAGACTTGTGGTCCCCGTGCGTGGTGAAAGCGCCTATGAACTGCATCACGTTGGGCTTTCCTCATACACTAAACTCATACGCTGCGATAACAATGAAATACAAATCAAAGCGATGTGACACCAACCTCACTCACTCAATATTGGGAATGTTCATGTGCAAATACATTGGTTGTTGACTATTCTGTGGATGGTGGAGGTTTGGAAATGGATTATAGTTTGGGCCACATACTCCAAGACAAATATTTTGTATCTTCGTTCTTGTCAGAACACGTGTGTGTTTCCTTGACATTAAGCATATCAGCGAACCATTATTAGTTGTAAAACCAGAGGCCAAACTTTTTTCCCGGCGCTGTAATATTCCACAATTCCAAAAGAAATCTTCCCATGCCTGACTTTCCAGTCGTTGGCACTTGATTGCTTGACACGCTACGACTGACAGTTGACTACACATATGTAGGATATACACGATGAATGTTAAGTCACAGTTATGACATTTTATTTAAGACGACCCTCTTCATTGATCACCGATCACCGATCACGAAGCGACATGGACATAATGTTTTTGATATAATATTAGTCTCTGGTGACTTCTTGTGTCTGTGCCTTTTTGTAAAAAAGCAAACCACACTTTAGCCTTTACAAAAGTAAGTTACTGGTGTTGCTAAAAGGATGCCGTTTAATGTGTATCTGAATAGTATCCCATTTAATTACAGGTATACCAGCACGCCAAATAACGTGTCCACGGGACACTAGTTCCCTGCGCATTGGCGAGGATCTGTTACTGAATATTTCAATTTCAAGATATTACTGCTCTGATACCGCCCGGCTTCGGTTACTGATGGGGAAGAATGATATAACACTCCTCAATGAAACCGTTAATGGTACTACAAAGGAATATTTTGTCGTCAAACAACGTATGACAGCTTCACATTTCGGGATTGTGAAGCTATTCTTCGAATGTGGAAACTTTCGTGAGGCGCTATTGTGTGAAGGTGTTCAACTACTAAGTCTTAAGTACGGTACGTGGTGCATATGTACGATGACCATTTATGTTAAACATATTAGGTTATTAAAACCAGCATATTTATATTTTTTTTCATGTTAGGTACCAACCATTTGATATTCTGAGAAGGGTTGGGGCGGGGCTAAGAGTTTGTATCGAGGTTAATTTTATTTCAGTTACAGCTGCAAATGGTCGGTTGTTGATCTCTCTGTCGGAAACGAAAGCTTGTGACATTGTGACATTGTGGTAGGAATATATAATAAATAATGTAATTGTTGATTCCAGCATGCCCCCAAATATGTTTTACATTTAACGCATTATACCAGGTTACGTTTCAGATACGAATAGTATGCTGTCATTCTGCATGTGCACGTAATAACTTAAGATTTGTTTCAAACGTAGAAAACAATGTCACAATAACTGCATACTTTTTCAAAACCAATTAAAGCAACCTTTCTAATACCTTATGTAAGTCAATGATAAAATTATATTACTCTTTTAGATGACAGTTGTCGCTGTGACGAAACGGGCTCCACACTTGCAATAGTCATGGGGATCGTAATCATCGTTATCATCGTCCTCCTATTAGTCAAGAATCTCAGAAACAAAAACGATGGATGTAAGGTAGAAATAAATAAACACTAAACCAATCTCGTAACACAACTAAAGTTGTGATTCGTACATTGCATCAATCGTGGTTGTTTCACGTGAACTAAATTTGTAAATATTTGTCATACGGATTTATGCAGGAGCCAACACCTCAGCCAATGCTTTTGATCAATATCAAATTCCCCTATTTGTCTATTTGAGAATGCCAGGTATAATATGTCTGATTAATGTTGATAATATCTAATAATACATAGTCGCCAGTGTCATGCCGACCTTGGGTTTGGATCCCATTGCTTTCAAACTGCAAAATGTATATTATTTGGAATGTAAATGCTATACGATGGATCAATTTTAATATCGAATTACACAATAAAAGTTCTCTTTTCAGGGGTGCAGCATCTTACAAGTAGAGGTAATTGTATGAATTTCTTCTTTCGTCTGTGCTTTTAATATATGTTTTGCTGTCAGCAAATGCCTCATCTGCATTTTTGTTCTCATTACAGATGTGCAGTATAATTAGGTGTCTTCCTTGGTTCAAACGGAATCCCAACAATCAGGTAAACATTTGTGATACGAGTAAATGCGGAATTCCATACCTAAGCGAATGCTTGTGACCGATAAAGGTGTAAAGTACATCAAATTCTTACCAAGCTATGTAGGCATCCTTGATAATACAATAGCCCATGCTGCAGCAAACCCTTCACTCAACCAATCTGTGACACCACTTCTTTTGCCATACAATTATTATGAGCCTGTTATTAGAAGTTATATCCGAGATCAAATGCAAACCCCATACGATGCATCAATTTTTATATTGAATTTATGCAAAATCAATTCTCTTTCCAGGTTCAAAAACACATGGAGGCTGACGATTTACAAATACAGGTAAATCTTATAGATTCATTCCTCCGTCCGTGCACTTAATAACTATTTGGCTATCTTAGCTACTCTTACTATTCTTTGAGTTGTGATTGTGTGGTCTTGAGTGTTCAGTTGCATTTGTCTTTTGACTGGTTAGTACTTCCGAGACATGTGTTTGCTTAATAACAATGCATGCACATACGTTTATTGCCGGTAAATTCAGGAATCCCTATGTTTTAAGAACATCAGAATATGGAAACATATCTAGTTAAATCCTTATTTATATCAAGTGTATCTCCGAATTCCAAATCAGTGTTTCGCTTCGATGTAATTGCAAATACCAGGTTCGATCGTTTTCATGGGTATTGATAATGTTTCGCAGGTGTTGTCTTGATCGTCATGGCAAACAATGCCTTAACTAATTCGCACAACATAAATAATATTAGTACGTATTAGTCTTGCTTGTTTCAATTGGAAGAAAAACTATGAGGTAAGCATCCGTGATAAATGTATAGGCTAAAGGTCACACCTCTGCAACTGCTTGTGAACGAGATGAGCACATTGTGACCCAGCAATATATCTTGTTGGCATCCCCAATAAAGGAAGACACATTCTTTGGTATATATTTCGCCACCTTCTTACTTTCTTGCCACGTATAAAATACTTTAAAGCAAACTGTCTGAGGGTACTGTGATTCTTAAAATTTGTTTCTAATTCATAGTACGTAGGATATCAGTCAACCCCACATATCCACGTATCCTCTCCAAACTTAGCAATGGCTTCATCATTTATTGTGGGGCTTGCAAAAGCAACCTTCAAATACCCAATTGAATCCTTTATCAAGGTCTTAGACTCTCTTGGCTCTTCCAGAACGGTGATCTTGATAAGACATATCTTAAACAACACAACCCTGCTTACAGCTTTGTGTTTAGTCACCCTCATGGAAATCTTCACAATAAGATGTCATCTCTTATTCCACCTCTTGGAAAAACTAATTTAACCTGTTTTTCTTGAACATATATAAACGCCACTCCTTCTGTCTTCTCTGCCTTGGCAATTGGTTAAGTCAAAGAAAGACCTGGCATTGATCAAACTGATTATACCAAAAACAACCCCATACATCATCAACACTAATATATCAATTTAAGAAGCACATACGTGTCGTATGGAGCGACTAGCGGGATCGGTCGGTCAGACTTCACTGAAGTTTTGAATTTCTATTTACTTGGATTAAGCTTTTGACTGTATAGCTCAGATAAAGGAAACTTGCTTGTGTCTCAGTATACATGTATGTATTAAAGACAATACTTCATTATTACTTCAGGCATTTTTAATGTCTCGCGAGGATGCACAATATACCATTTCAATAGAAACGAAAAATATTAATTCCACAATAGCAAGAAATATATCCAGAACTATTTTCTGATATTTCACTGGTTGTGACTAGTATCTGGTGCTGAAATGGACCTTTTGTTACATTTGTTTCAATACTTTGGGCCTAAGACGTTATGCATCAAAACATTTCGAAAAATCCGGGGAAGTTGATCAAGTGTAAAAGGTTTTAATAAGGAATATTCATCTACAATTTTTCAAAGCATTAGTTGTTAATGTTATGGTGACAAGCTGATTAAGGATAAAGCCTAAAGGGATTACACAGTTTCGACAAGCCTCATCATTAAATTAATAAGATATTTACAGATAAAATTATTTGAGAACAATATAAAACTCCTTACAATAATGCACATTTTAATATATTTGCGATCACTGTAAAACAAAACAATACACTGCCATATTACAATACGGTGACTGCATCAACCACGTCACCGAGCCTCAGAACCCGATACTTTTAGTCGCCTCTTACGACAAGCCTTGGTTGGTGAAGATTAATTATAACCCGATAGTCATGGGTTGAAGTTAGTGATAAATGTGCCTATTCACGTTTAATGTATCCATGATACTTAGCCGGGGGCACTCTAGATATGCTAGTATAGCATTGTGGCCGTCCATTATGAAGTATCTATTCACATCAATTTGTCATTAAATGTGTGGGAATCTGGATGATGTCCAATCAACTATTATTAATCTATAAAACTCATCTCTAAATCTAGAAGGTGCAATCATGGAGTCACCTTCTTAAACATCAGAGTAGTCGTATGGATTCGATCCGCCAGAAATAGATTATGCTCGCATTGATTCAAAAGCCCTGATCCAATGTGATTCAATTTCGTCAAGAGACCATTCACTACTTCATAGGCAAGATGTTTGGACGTCAATATTATAATCCATTGTGAGAGTATGAACAGAATTTAGAGTGTGCATAATATCATTTTCCTAAAGTGGATGACGTTTCTCCGAGAATGTATTGTCAAAATCTATTGAGCCCCATGGTAAAGAGCTATACCATTGATCAAAGTGTTTATTCAGTAAACCTAGATAAAAGCAGAGAAGACATGCATGTTATGCACTGAGCTCAAGCTGCGCTGTTGACTTTCTAATATCTGTTTAATAATTCAGTGATAAAGCAACTAGAACTTGTTTATTAGAAAGGGTATGTTAAGAGTTTTGTTTTAGCGATGTTGTAATAAATGTCACCCGTATGTGAGCGCTGTTATTTAAACACGAGGACATGTCCATGTTTATTCAATGATGAAATAATACCCGTCTCATAATGAATCTACTCCTGAAGATGCGGGTTAGAATAAGTCTACAACAACCCATGCTTAACGTAAAAGGCGACTTTGCTTGTCGTAAGAGGAGACTAACGCGATCGGGTGATTCGGGTCGTTGACTTGGTTGATACATGTCATCGTATCCCAATTGCCTGGATCTATGCCCATGATGTAAATCACTGGACTTTCTTGTCCAGGCTCGATTATTCACAAAATGCCGCCATACAGCTGAAATATTGCTGAGTGCGGCGTTAAACAACACACACACAAACAAACAAACATAATGAATCCTCCCTTGCGTCAGGTTAATGCGTTCATCCTATGTTAATATCATAAGTCATATCAGCAAAATATGGCTGTATTAATACTGGCGCCGATGCAACACGTATTTGTGACTGTGACAGATGCCATATCAAACCCAAAGCAACCCAAAGCAAATGTCTGTTCTGTTCTGACGGTCATTCAAACATAATATTAATAAACATTTAATATTTCAAGTGTGAAAATTTGTCATTCCAAGTTGATGCCTATCGTCGTTTCTACAGATGAACTGGTTCATATTTAATTCATTGTTGAACATCATTCATTGTCATTATACATATGATGTGCTATACTCCAAGTTTTCACAGACGGAGCGTTATTCGTTAGAGTGTCAAGTTGTACACTGCTTATACTGTTTATGCAGCATCATGAGAAAATGTGTCCCTGAGCGGTTGCCACCTAATATACGAATACCTAATACGTGTTTATTTAGCTCTATTCTACATACATCAACGTTACATGAGGAGAACAACTTGTGCTGAGCTTGTGTCGCTCAATCAATGTATTTGTCACGCATGAAAGAAAACATCATTGCCATCGTACGTGTATTCTAGAATTCCATTCTTTTAAGAAGGCCGTAACATAGAAACAAATCGAGGTCAGGGATTATGTAAGACATGCATTTCAGCGCATTCCAGATCAGTGTCCCTCTTGGATGTACTTGGAAATGCCAGGTATACTATTTTTGTATAACATATTGCAGAAACCGTCAGCAGCTTGACATATACCCACATTGAGATTGGATCAGCAACACTTACGTACATTATGGGGGACTTACAAGCTATATGATGGTTCAATTGCAACATTAAATCTATGCAATAAATTTCTCTTTTCAGGTTTCCGAAAAAACAATGCCTGCTGAAGATCCAAAACCAGAGGTACGTTTATACATGGCTTCTTTCGTATGTGCTTTGAATAGATATTTTGCTGTCAGCTAATGCCTCGTCTGCTTTTACTATCATTTGAGTTTCTACCTGATTGTGATTGTGGGGTCATAAGTATTTGGTAACTATATATTTGCGTATTCACATATTATAACTTACCAGCATAACGTAGCGTTCCTTTCTTTTAAGAAGGCCATAACTGGCATTTGCATGTACATTATGGGGGACTTACAAGCTATATGATGGTTCAATTGCAACATTAAATCGGTAAGACAAGTATTTCGCTATAATCAAAATCAGTGTCCCTCATGGATGTACATGAAAATGCCAGTTATAATAATGTTGATAACATGTTCACAAGTGTTGCAGAAACGTCACTGGCTTGACACTCACAATTGGATTCAATACTTTTGCTTTCGAGCAGCAATACTTACATTATGGGGAACTTACAAGCCATATTATGCATCAACTGCAATGTTAAATTTATGCAATACATTTCTCTTTTCAGGTTTCTCCCAAAAAGGTGCCTGCTGAAGAAACAAAACCAGAGGTACGTTTATACATTGCTTCTTTCGCATGTGCTTTGAATAGATATTTTGCTGTCAGCTAATGCCTCGTCTGCTTTTAATATTATTTGAGTTTCTGCCTGATTGTGATTGTGTGGTCATAAGTATTTGTTTACTCTATATTTGTGTATTCACATATAATAACTTTCCAGGATAATCTGGCATTCCTTTCTTTTAAGAAGGCCATACCATAGAAACAAATCGAGTTCAAGGATTATGTAAGACATGTATTTGATTATATTTCAAATCAGTGTCACTCCTGGATGTCCATGAAAATGCCAGTTATAATAATGTTGATAACATGTTCACAAGTGTTGCAGAAACGTCACTGGCTTGACACTCACAATTGGATTCAATACTTTTGCTTTCGAGCAGCAATACTTACATTATGGGGAACTTACAAGCCATATTATGCATCAACTGCAATGTTAAATTTATGCAATACATTTCTCTTTTCAGGTTTCTCCCAAAAAGGTGCCTGCTGAAGAAACAAAACCAGAGGTACGTTTATACATTGCTTCTTTCGCATGTGCTTTGAATAGATATTTTGCTGTCAGCTAATGCCTCGTCTGCTCTTAATATTATTTGAGTTTCTACCTGATTGTGATTGTGTGGTCATAAGTATTTGGTTACTATATATTTGTGTATTCACATATTATAACTTTCCAGCATAATCTGGCATTCCTTTCTTTTAAGAAGGCCATAACATAGAAACAAATCGAGTTCAAGGGTTATTTAAGACATGTTTTTCACTATATTCCCAATCAGTGTCACTCCTGGATGTACATGCAAATGCCAGTTATAATAATTTTGATAACATGTTCACAAGTGTGACACAAACCGTCAGTTGCTTGACACCAACCTTTGGATCCATTTGTTTTGAACAGCAATACTTAAAAATAATTATGGGGAACTTTACAGCTACACGATGCAATAATTGCAATATCAAATTTATGCACTATTTTTGTTCTTTTCAGGTTCCCCCCAAACCATTGCCTGCTGAAGATCAAATACCAGAGGTACGTTGATACATTGCTTCTTTCGTATCTGCTTTGAATAGAAATTCTGTTCACTATTATTGGAGTTCCTACCTGATTGTGATTGTAGGCTCATACGCTTTTGGTTACGTTATATTTGTGTATTCACATATTATAAATTGCCAGCATAATCTGGCATTCCTTTCTTTTAGGAAGGTCATAAGATAGAAACAAATCGAGTTCAAGGATTATGTAAGACATGTATTTCACTTAGTCCAAATCAGTGTCACTCCTGGATGTACATGCAAATGCCAGTTATAATAATGTTGATAACATGTTCACAAGTGTTGCAGAAACCGTCACTGGCTTGACACCCACAATTGGATTCAATCCATTTGCTTTCGTGCAGCAATACTTACATTATGGGGAACTTACAAGCCATATGATGCATCAACTGCAATATCAAATTTATGCAATAAATGTCTCTTTTCAGGTTCCCCAAAAACCAATGCCTGCTGAAGATCAAATACCAGAGGTACGTTTATACATTGCTTCTTCCGTATGTGCTTTGAATAGATATTTTGCTGTCAGCTAATGCCTCGTCTGCTTTTAATATTATTTGAGTTTCTGCCTGATTGTGATTGTGTGGTCATAAGTATTTGTTTACTCTATATTTGTGTATTCACATATAATAACTTTCCAGGATAATCTGGCATTCCTTTCTTTTAAGAAGGCCATACCATAGAAACAAATCGAGTTCAAGGATTATGTAAGACATGTATTTGATTATATTTCAAATCAGTGTCACTCCTGGATGTCCATGCAAATGCCAGTTATAATAATTTTGATAACATGTTCACAAGTGTGACACAAACCGTCAGTTGCTTGACACCAACCTTTGGATTGGATCCATTTTTTTTAACAGCGATACTTAAATATCATTATGGGGAACTTACAGCTACACGATGCATAAATTGCAATATTAAACTTATGCAATACATTTGTCTTTTCAGGTTCCCCCAAAACCAATGCCTGCTGAAGATCAAATACCAGAGGTACGTTCATACATTGCTTCTGTCGTATCTGCTTTGAATAGAAATTATGTTCACTATTATTGGAGTTTCTACCTGAATGTGATTGAAGGCTCATACGCTTTTGGTTACGTTATATTTGTGTATTCACATATTATAAGTTTCCAGCATAATCTGGGATTCCTTTCTTTTAGGAAGGCCATAATATATAAACAAATCGAGTTCAAGGATTATGTAAGACATGTATTTCACTATATTCCATATCAGTGTCACTCCTTGATGTACATGCAAATGCCAGTTATAATAATGTTGATAACATGTTCACAAGTGTTGCAGAAACCGTCACTGGCTTGACACCCTCAATTGGATTCAATCCACTTGCTTTCGAGCAGCAATACTTACATTATGGGGAACTTACAAGCCATATAATGCATCAACTGCAAAATCAAATTTATGCAATACATTTCTCTTTTCAGGTTTCCAAAAAAACAGTGCCTGCTGAAGAAACAAAACCCGAGGTACGTTTATACATTGCTTCTTCCGTATGTGCTTTGAATAGATATTTTGCTATATTCCAAATCAGTGTCACTGCTGGATGTACATGCAAATGCCAGTTATAATAATTTTGATAACATGTTCACAAGTGTGACACAAACCGTCAGTTGCTTGACACCAACCTTTGGATTGGATCCATTTGTTTTGAACAGCAATACTTAAATATAATTATGGGGAACTTACATTTACACAATGCATCAACTGCAATAAATGTCTCTTTTCAGGTTGCCCCCAAACCAATGTCCGCTGAAGATCAAATACCAGAGGTACGCTTATACATTGCTTCTTTCGTATGTGCTTTGAATAAAAATTCTGTTCACTGTTATTGGAATTTCTACCTGATTGTGATTGTAGGCTCATACGCTTTTGGTTAGAAGTGATTAAAAAGTGAAAGTATTTCCCATGTTCTATGTGAGCTCGCAGGGCTCTGTATTTGTCATGTTTAGTTAATTCCAGTGGATCATCCATATTGTCATTAGCTGGTAAACTCTCCAGTGAAATATAAGTAAATATCAAAACACAGTCAGAGTCACAGTCAGAGTCCAACTTAAGCATTACGTTTGAAAGTGAAATTATGATGGTGACGGAGAGTGAATATCTACATAAAATGTTGACTAGGGGGTGGTGAGAGGCTGGCACTTATATCACTCAGTCAGTCAGTAACGCGAAACCACCACATGTGCTTCCCTTGTTAGATTATTGTATTTGCACAAGCCCATCATCAGATTATCACACATTTTGTCAGTTAAACGTTGTTGTTTTTTTGTAATAACACGGACCGTTATAGTTCGGACGCTAGGGTATTACGTAGGGTATTAGATAGTAACATATTTTTGGAGGAAACATAAAAGTAACAATACCGATATTTGTGGCAATGCGTTCCCAACACATTGAATAATGCATAGTGCACGGTTAAGCATCAGTGAGAGACGCTATTATAACTAGATGATCCCGGAGCGGTTACAGTTACACTGACTGATCATCGAAATTAATTGGTTTTCCCTTTATTTCGGTTTTTCAATGCAAAGTCATCAACTCTAGATCACATTAAACTAAAGCAAACACAAACAACTTACTGCAACACTTCGATTGCCAAACAAGACACTGGCTTCACTCTGTCTAAAGTTTGTCTCATTTGGTTCTCCGAATACAGCGTTCTCTGATTGCATGATCGTTCACGAATATCCTCGCTATGACCCATCCTAATGTACAAAACGAAGAAACGCAGATCTATTTGTAGTATCGACTCGATCCGTGTCTAGACCGACCGTGACAGTAAAGCAATCTATTATGTTACAAATGCCTTTCAATGATCGGCCAAACACATGTTATCGCCACAGGTTCATTAACAACTTCCGAAATATCTCCCGTCACGTTTATCGTCGACGTCTTGTACTTGATGTAAATGTGTTACGACGCAATGTCATTGTAACTGACGAACTGAGGTAGTTCTTAACAGACAATTTACATTTGAGGATGATAATGTGTTGTAAACATACTACAACAGATGTCACTGAAGAACAACGTGAGAATACATTCGCTTACGTCACCTCTCCTGTTAATGAACTACCTCATTCCGCGATATAGCTGGTAGGTGTATTGCTGTCAGTGTAAAAATAGTAATACATTAGTTTATATATCTGCATCCATCGAGGTAAAGAAATAGTTACCATTATAAGAATTAACTTTCACTTTCTTCGAGTTTTCTGGAACTTGCTTTGAGCCAACCCCACACGTAATTTTGTTACAGCCTATTTAAAACCAAAAGCAACGTGTATCTATTTAGTCTAATCTTAACAAATGAAATAGTTTGCCTTGCACCTGTTTATCGTAATTGATAGTTCCAATCTTCCCGACATCCACAATTGACATCGAAGTGGACTACCATTTTGGCAAACTTTATGTTTCACTATTCGACTCATATGTTATATTTTTAAATAGTTATTATGATGTCTTAATTCCTGTACAGATTTAAGATAAAAATCTCGCCTTTAATGCCAAGTCAAACCAGAGGGACCACGAATCGGTTCTTACGACCTGTATGTATGCTCATGTTGATTCTGGCTCAAGTGTGTTATGCCGGGATAAATGCTGTAAGTTACAATGAAACTATACCATCAATGGGACTACTATTAATAATCTGTATACTGTACATTCAACGATTGGCATAAAAGCATGCATATGTACTTTCAGGTGTGATTTTGAATAGGAGATCATTTTATTAACAGAAGGCGCATTTGCTTGAAACCTTCCCGATGTATGGACATGGTGACGTCTTTAGTAAAGGGGAATGTAATAGTTGTTTCTCATCTGCTTTCCTGTAAAGCACAGATACCCGACCGAGACAGTTGGCCCGGATCCTTCAGTGAATGTGCCGTTGAGATAATATGTATGCGCTATTGGGTACATTGGTAAATGTTATGGAAAGGTTTTCAAAAGCGTCAGTCGCCAAAGACATGAATACATGCCAGACCGATAACAACCAACCCATGTCAACACTGTTGAGACTCAGTCATATAAGATTTTAGTTTTGTGTATGGTTTTATACCATGTTAAGCAAGAGTGTTAGACATGACAATGAACTCATTTTCCCTTTTTCAAAGTCTAGACTATCAAACCAATTGATCAGAAAATGCACTTAGTCCATTTGAACTGAATACATTTCCCTTTCAACTACCGCAGTGTCCGTATTGATATAGAGCTGATTGTTTACGTAAACCGTGACAGGCTGTAAAATGCATGTTGGGAATGTTGGCTAAGGAGAACGACCCTGGGTTTAATGCACCGTTCGGGGCATTATTATGGCGAAGAACAGTTTCATAATGCGCTTGTCAGTATTGACCGTTATCCATTATTCAAAAGTATAGGCTTCATATATTTGAAAGTTTGAACAGGTGAAATTGTCATTCCAAGTCGGTATGAAGCGTAGTTTGTACGTCGTTTTTTTTTTATATTTCTCAGTTTGGAGCTTTATACATGATCAAAATATACATGATGTGTTATATTCCAGTCTTCCATAGATAGTCATTTGTAGTCGGTATGGAGCCTTATTTGTGATAGAACAGTATGTAAAGTGGAGTAATTATGGAGCAGATGAACTTACATTGCTTATACGTTTTTTTGCAATAGCATGAAAAAACGCGGCCATGAGCCAATGCCGCATACATGCATACCTGTCACACTATTTAGGAATATTTGTCATGCACCAAAGACTACATTTATTAACAGTACCAAACACTGTAGCCTTGCGTACATTCCTCAACTAACATATAGTCTGTATCTGTAATCTAACGCAGTAAATATGCCTGGAAAGATGTTTACACAGACGAAATATCTAGACGATGTGTGGTTGCTTGGCTTTTCCATATATACCTGATAACTATTTAGACATATTTTGTTTCAGGAAATTCACAGCAAGACGTCCAGTTCCACAGAAAGTACAATCTGATCGTGCACAATGAAACCTGGAAATTATATCTGGGTGTCTTTGCTTTCTGCAAGGTACCATACATAATTTTGTAAATGCTGACACGCTCGATCGAGCTAGAAGGCTCAGTGGGTAACTCGGCGGTGTTGTTGTAACTAGCCGAGTAATTACAGTGGTCGCTCGACAGGCCGAATGCCTGAGTTCAATTCCCGACAAGAATTAAATGTATGAATGTATGTATGATGTATTGATGGAGTATTGGTAACAGCGGCCTGACTCCAAACTGACGCACCTTTGCAAGATTCGTGTGACGCTCTTTGAAATCCTTGCTATATAGCATGCAAAGAATACTATTGAGGAAATTCAACATACGGAAATATGATCCAGCATTAGTCCGAAAAGAACTGTCATGTGTTGTGTGATATGATTTAACTACTTCATGATCAAAAACATATTTTGATAGCAACGTCCAATCGAATTACAATTAGACATTAACTACATGGTCCTTTGAATATTGTTTAAATTAGTTTGATAAACAAAGCAGCATGCACGAAGTTTACAAATGTGTTTATCTGAAACTGACATGCATAGTTTGGAAGCCTTTCGGACTGATGTGGCCCTATTGGACCCATCGTTGAACATGATACACCAGGTAAATCTCCCGACTTCTTAAATATAGCAGTTGTGAATATTGATATATATCTATATCTCTTTTCAAACATGTTTGAATTATGATTCTAAACTGTTCAAATACGTATAGTTACCTATAGTCTAGTTACCTATTACGTTTGTTATATATGTACCTACTACTATTATAAAGACAGCGACGATGTTAATTATTAACAGAGATAATGATTAGGATTGAAATCACAGTCTTGTATTGGGACTTTCCAAATAGTCATTATAGTCAAATGCGCGAAGTCTTGCCTTTGATATAGGCGTTTTTTAACTTTGTAATAATTGTTTAGTACCAATCATATGCTTCTTTTGCAGTATCTTTAGTCAACATTTCATGAAAAGATAATGTCCCAACATATGATATTTATGCATCTATTAGCAATGGCAAATTTGACAAAAGTATACTGAGCAACAAAAGTTCCTGTGACATTGAATAAGATTTCATGCAAAGTAATGTTTTTTACCAAATCTGAAACAATTTCGGTTTGCAGCAGGTAAAAGACACCTGTTAGTGTTCAAATGGTTTATTTTGCCCTACGAACTTCAGAAAATGCGTGATTTCATCCGAAAAAAACATGAACATGCCAAAATTTACAAATCAATAGCATGTGTCTCATGGAATGGACCAGGCGTCGCACAAAGTCCTGTGGGATATCTGTCCATATCTACTAGAGCATGTTTGGAAGTTCCTAGAGTGTCTGTGGAACACGTGGTTGATCCCTCTCATCCCATATGTGCTCGATTGGTGAGAGATCAGGGGAGCAAGCTGACCAGGGGATGCCATTTACGTTGTTTTGTTGAAGGGAATCCTGAACAAATCGAGCAATATGAGGCCGGACGTTGTCATGTTGAAAGGTAATGCCTGGGCCATGACGACGCAAAAACGGTAGAACAACAGGGCCGATGATCTCGTAGCGGTAGCGCTGCCCATTGATACTTCCATCTACCCCTATCAAACGGGTCCTCTGTCTTGCTGTAATCCCAACCCATACCCTAACGTTGTCGCCCCCGATCCCATACTCTTCCATGACACAATGATTGACGTAAAGTTCACCCCAACATCGGTACACTCGAATCCGTCCATCGCTGTGGCTGAGGTGAAAACGAGACTCGGTGAGTCAGTGAATAGAATTTGTCTGCACCACTGTAGCCGTACTTGACGCTGGTTTCCTGTCACAATGGGACGTCTGGCGGGTCTTCTGGCGACAATCCCTGCACATCTAAGGCGTCGACGTACGGTTTGTGAAGATATTCGCCGAAGGCGAGGGATGCTTCTTGCAGTCACTGTTGCTGGCTGGAATCGATTTCGTAGGTGTGTTGTTCGAATCCAGTTGTCTTGTCGATTATTGGTTACGCGGGGCCTGCCACTCCGAGGATGGTCTCCGACTGCATTCGTCTGTTGCCAACGTTGCCATAAACACCAAATGGTGTTTCTGTTGACGTTAAATTGTCTCGCAACATCACGTTGAACCGATCCTGCTTCAAGCATACCAATGGCTCACAGACGTTCGGACAGGCGTGGCATTTCGTAATGTTGAATAATTGCGTAATGTTGTTGTTTTTCTGAGTGGTTGTTGTCAGCACGATGCTAAACAATGCATATGGAATCCCGTTAACGCACATGTTTTTATACCCATTCTTGGGTAGTGAAATGCACGGGGCTTGCATAAAAGTCAATTTTTGCATGGAATGCATGCTTTTCTGCAGCAATTGCGTTTTTGTGACTTAATTCCATACATGTAGTACAATACTGAAAACCAAACTTAACTTGTTTGAAAAATACACTTAAATATTTGTGTCACGGGAACTTTTGTTGTTGAGTATAATTAAAACGATACATGCAATATGTTAGTGATTGGGTGTGGTGATAAGTTACATACATTTTAATTATGAAATAAAGGACATATCAAACATGCTAACAGTCAAAATGATATTTTAATTACAAGATAGTCCATGGCCAGTATAACTATCAAATTATGCAAATGCATACACCTACTGTCTGTTTTCCCATCATGAAATTACAGTACCAGATATTCTTACACTCATGCATTCGTGTCAAACAAGCAACTGGAAACTTAGCCTTATCCATACAGGACTTCAATCACAAGCCCTTTTATAACAAATGTCGTCTCAATGCATTTTGTCAGGATAGGCTAAGTAACTAATAATAGGCAATAATAACAAATCAATATTTGATCAGAACATGACATTATCTGTAACAGCCAGAATAGGTATAAATAGTGACGACAGTCAGTCACAAATCAACTTGTGGCTGACTAACAAACTTATTTTACTTCACTCATGTAAGTAACATAATCATGTGCTAATATTTATGTCGATGCTTGCAATGCTGTTGTGGGTAGATATTTAATTTCCTTGTGTTGCTTTACGTTTCAATATGTATTATGATGAACATTATATTTTTTTAGAGCCAACTCTGGTAATGTATCTAGAAAGATTGTGTCAATGTATTATTTGCAATTACTATACTCATATGCAATTTGTCGTGTTCAGATTATGTTCGTCATATATATATAATCAGTCATTGTCAATCATCGTCTGTCATGTTTGAGGTAGATGTTCTTCTAACGTAAACATATTCGGTAGCTTATTAATAAACACCTGATTATTCCCTCTGTGTCCAATGTTCTTCAGCGAGATGACGCCCCCCCCCCCCCCCCCCTCTAAATTTGCAGGATAAAACATCATTTTCGATAACGAGTCAGGGAAGATTAGACACGACTATCAAGATGCGACATGAAAACATTGAGTAAGTGAGTGAGTGTATCCCCGAATACCATGTTGTTGACAACGGAAATTGGACAATTGGTGATTCGACCCTGTTCTTCAGTGTTGTGATCATATTATTTAGCCACATAACACAACCGACAATACACAACAAGGAAGCCAAAATAGTCCGTTACATTCGGAACGTTCTACAAAACCTTAACGAGGCCTACTGAATGGGTCATTGGGTGATTATACTGCGTGTTGCATTGCCGAGTGTATTGTGAAGGAACGAGAAGGCGACAGCTAGTACACGCTGACCTAGATCCATACGTGCAGTGTCCGTGTAAGAGGCGTCGCGCTCAATACAGATATGTGACAAGTGTAGCGCCGGGTACGTTGATAAAACGAAGGTGGTATGCACCTACGAGTAACTTCCCTTATTGAAACGGTTTGGCCACGTACAGTTTGTAAATCTACCGCTGCTTTGGTCAACCGCTGTTTTCCAAATAATGCTTTCAATGATGTATCAAAAGAACTTTCTGCGAACATTTTGGGCATAAAGCATACCGATTAAGCTATGCACTGAGCTTTCATTTTATCAGGATTCGTCACTTCTAATCCACGTGTTGCGTTAGTTATAGTAGCAGTAGCAACATCTGGGTTTTGAACTTAAAATGACATCTACACCACAAATTGTTTATGTATCATACTTTTATACACAGTGAAACAAAGCAGGTCGTGTTCATATATGAATAGGAAATGTATCAATTCGACCATAGTGATACATCAATAACAATACTCAATGTTGTTATCCGCAAACATTTCAATACACATTTTGTGCAATCGCAGGATAGATTTAACGTTTCACACACACACGTTCGATGAAGTACAAAAGCATAGATTAATGTATTGTGATCAATACAAATCTCAACAACAGAACGTCCTCACTTTCCCCCGCTACGGGGTACATTAGAACTGTGTTTGTTCATGTAGTAGTGTGTGAGTTGGGTTTAACGCCGCTTTTAAAAGTATTCCAGTTATATCACGGCGTGTCAGCTTAATGTGGGAGGACAGCCCGAAGTGATGCAGGTCTCAGACGTTTATCATTTTGGTGAAACCCACGAGCACGGGTATGGTGCTGACAAACCTAGAAACATAATCGGGGCGAACCAGGATTCGAACCCACAATCATAGGTTCTGGCGTGCCTGAGGGACGCAACTCTGCACAGCGAATCGCGGCGCCTTAGACAACTGGGCCACCCGTGCCTCCTCATGTAGTAGTGAATATATTCTATAAAAAGCCCTACAAACCTTTAAACATCCATAGCCATTCAGGCCGCTTTTTTTCATCAGAAAACTTTTATCATATGTGAAATAAATTCACGCAAAAGGCCCCTTCTCTGGATAAATAACTCAGTTGAAAAGCACGAAGCAAAAGCCTAACACTCTCAAAAAATGAGGGGACACATTTTGCAATTTTCTTCTTATCCAATCACGTGTGGTAGAGTATCACGTTTAAATGTCTTAAAGTGCTTTCATGACATCATCTGATGTTATATTTCGAGGTGGCTCCACACTTACATGTAGGTTTCTTGCAAAAATGTGATTGTTATAAATAGATACTTGAAACCGTGGTCATCTGAAGCCATGTTAGAGACGTAGCCCACTGGTCATTAAGGCCGGTCGCATCCACCCCTTTCTTTTAAACTTGTAAGACCGTTGTAGTGGCTAGGCGTATACTAAGGCGAACCTTTTTCTTAATCTGATGTAATCTGAAATCTAATTTGCCTTCTTTTTTAACCATATAACAGTTTTGATGGCCCCGAAACTTAAGCTACATGTTTAGGATTACAATAAATACTGGACAAATGTTCTTTCCAGCCTAGAAAGGGCATGACAAACATAGAACTGACAAGAAAATAAATAAAATAAATAAATAAATAGTACATGGCTTTTTATAAGCATACTAACATCAGTCAGGAGTGTTTACACACGCGATTGCTATCAGCGTACAGACAAATAGTATTCTGACCTCTGACCTCTGACCTCATTTCGTGGTGTATAGACACTCACAGAGTCGACCACAATGTCGAATGGGATCAAACTCGGAACTAACAGATCAATGAATGTAAATATATTTAAATACGTAGTCTTATTTAAACTACCATATATAAAGTAACTATAATATACCTTCCAACCTTATACAGTTATTTGGTACTGATAAACAGCTATTTGGTACTGGTGAAGTCACATTTAAATTGGTAAGGATGAACTGATAATAGTATGGGTTTTCCCGGTTTTTGCACCACGCCTGGTTACACCCTGTTCTCACCAAAGGTTTGGGAGCAATTCTAGACGCGGCGATCAGTATCCAATCAAAACATTGGCACCACCCATTGGTGGTCTTTTTTTTTCACCATACCCACACATCGTTATGAAAAGGAAATTAAAGTTAATGCTGAAGCTCAAATTCAGAATGCATATTTGTTAATATATGTTGACGAGGAAGGTCGTTAATTCAATAATGTTCATGAACAACAATTTTATCAATCAAGAAAGTTTTCCTTGTACTTTTGTTTGCACCTGTTATGGTTATGAGCATAAACTGTTCCAGTAGCTTTTGACGAGATTGAAATAACATTTACAAGTTTTTGTGTGCTGTGAAAGTTGAGAATAGAATGACATATTAATAGCATATGTTTGCAATATTAGTTAGGATCTGCTGTTTTCTATTTTAGGGTTTGCAAAATATCACATGTGAGAGGTTGTGTAATTATCTAATAATCAATGCATATCTCATATTTACATAGAACGATTATTTGACTACCTTTTCTTCAACTCATGTTCTGGCAAT